AGACACAGTCTACGTCCACCTTTAGTCAGTGGTCCAGACACAGGCTATGTCCACCTCAGTCAGGTCCAGACCCAGGCTACGTCCACCTCAGTCAGGTCCAGACACAGGCTACGTCCACCTCAGTCAACGGTCCAGACACAGGCTACGTCCACCTTTAGTCAGTGGTCCAGACACAGGCTACATCCACCTTTAGTCAGTGGTCCAGACACAGGCTACGTCCACCTTTAGTCAGTGGTCCAGACACAGGCTACGTCCACCTTTGGTCAGTGGTCCAGACACAGGCTACGTCCACCTCAGTCAACGGTCCAGACACAGGCTACGTCCACCTCAGTCAGGTCCAGACACAGGCTACGTCCACCTCAGTCAGGTCCAGACACAGGCTACGTCCACCTCAGTCAACGGTCCAGACAAAGGCTACGTCCACCTTTAGTCAGTGGTCCAGACACAGGCTACATCCACCTTTAGTCAGTGGTCCAGACACAGGCTACGTCCACCTCAGTCAGGTCCAGACACAGGCTACGTCCACCTCAGTCAGGAGCCCGACGGGCTTGCTCTCGGCTTCCCTCTCTTGTGTGTACACGCAGAACGAATAAGGAAAGTGTACATGGCCGGCCTGGGAAATGGAGGTAGGGCCAGCTTCTCGGGCACGGGGCCTGGACGTCCTACAAGGCTCCACGCTCAGAGGGGCCAGCGTTTAGTGTCCTGCTCGGCTGCTGCCATCTTGAAATGCTGAATACTCCTTGAACACGGCTCCCACATTTCCACTGCGTCCTGGGCCCCACAGGTTACAGCAGGTCCTGCCTCGGGGTCATCTACTGTCGTAGTAACTGCCAGAAGCTCCCAGACACCGACAGAGAGAACATGAGGGGAGCTGGAGCGTCCAGTGACAGGGCGACACGTGCTAAGACATACCTCGAACCTGGGGTGCTGACGGTACCTTTTCAACAGTGGTCTTTGCATTGGGCAGATTTCTGTCTGAGGTAAAAACTTTCCGAAATGCCTATGTTTACAAGTCTAGGAGAAAGTCTCTGGGAGTGCAGAGGAGTAGGGAGTGGACCCGGGAGACGTGAGCTCCTCATTACCGTGTGTCACGAGTGCCTTGGCCGGCAAGTCTGGCTCCGCAGCTCGGATTCCGGTGTCAGAACTTTCTGTGGCTCCTTCCAGATGGAGTCGGTCCTAGGCAGGTGCTGGCTCTTGTGATTATTACAGTCGGCTACGTTTCCACAGAGCTCACCTCCTCCACATCCATTTCCCCGAGGCCCATCCTGGCCACTCTGCTGCAAATAACAACCCACTCCCACCCCGCCCCAAGCTCACCCTTATTCCACTTCCCACGTCACTGCATAAGGCTCAGACACAGCAGGTGCTCAGTAGCCATGCGCTGCACAAAGGAACGAGAGGACGGCCTGATAACTCACATCCTACCAGTGAAAGGTGAGCCTCGATGAGAATTAAAACGTCAGCCAAATTCTTACTCCTTTCCGAACCGGCGGGTCTGTTCTCTGAAAACGGAGTCAGGTGCTCAGGATTCTTCTGATCTCACCCCTCAAGCACACGAGCTCTGTAAGGCTGGCCAGCTGAAGATCTGGGGCTTTGCCTGTTCCTGTCTTCCCATGTTACTTAGTAACAGTATTTTCCACCACCACAGTCGGAATGGAGATGCCACACTGGTTCTTCATGCAGGAAAATGTCAAGAGCACAGGGGATATGACTAACGCTATGGGATCTTTTATTTCTGAGGGCAATGCACCTGGGCCTTTTCGCTGTTCTTTTTTATTGATTTATATCCTCATCCAAGGATATGTTATTGATTTTAGGGATGGAGAGTGAGAAACAAACGTTGATGTGAGAGAACATCAATCAGGTGCCTCCTGCACACACCCTGACTGGGGATCGAACCCACAAGTTGGATATGTGTCCTGACCAGGACTCGAACCTGAAACCTTTGGTGTGGGATGACACTCCAATTAACTGGGCCACCGGCCAGGACTTCTGTTCTTTAGTGGGGCCATAGGTTCTTGAAGAGAGGGACTCTGGGGGTGACTGTCAGTCTTTCATCTCAGTCCTCCTGAGGATACTGGAGTTGCTGGTATTGTCAGTCCCAGTACTATTAATTAAAGTCAGTTTCAGATGGCTAGTTTCCCCCAATAGCTCTCCTTCGTACAAAAATCAGCTATTTGTTAAAATATCTACTGACATGAAATAAGCCTCAAGAGGCTTGTTAATCAAAGTACTACTTAATCAGTTTGTAGCCGTTGTAGTCTTAGGCTGAGAGCTCTTTTGACCATTAATTTAGGGAGAGTTGACACATGGATAAAGTAATAAGGGAGGAACACGAGAGTAAGTGTGCAAAGTAGAATCCATGTTTGTAGGCCTGAACAGAAATACGTTCTTCTAAGCAGTGGTTTCTGTGGACTTTCATACTTTTGTCTTCATTCTCTTTGAGAGAACGTCTGACTAATCTGAAATTTAAGTTACTGAGATGAGCGATGGATGGCCCCATCGTGGTGACTGGGTTTTGGTTTGAGAGCCCAGGTGCCACATTGTATCTAGTTACTGTGCTTAATCCCCCCCCCCTTTTTTTTTAAAAAAAAAGAGGAACCAGAAGACGGCTCCTTGAGTCTGTCAAGTTACAGGCATATACCATTTGTTTTCCAGTTCCTTGCAGTGGAAATCATGACTTTTTGGATACTGAAAACCAGGTGGAATAAATTCATCGGTGGAGATTATTTCATTTCACAGCCAGAAATTGGAGGAATACATTTTAATACAAAAATCAAATAGATTTTATAGCGTAAAAAAAATTTTTTTTCCCTTTTTTCTAACTAAGTGATGTCTAGGGGTTGCTGTGTTTGGAGACATTGAGCAATTATCTTATGATTTTGTTCTTGAAGCACATACACAGAAATTGTTTTTAGTGTATAGGGAAATAGGAGGAAAACAGTTATAATGAGAAGATTGTCCCTGGGTCAGAGATTTTGAAGGTTTGAAGTACTTCCAAAGGTGGAATAATCCTTGCAAACTCTCTGGATACTGTGTGTGTGTGTGTGTGTGTGTGTGTGTGTGCACGTACCCGCACGCACGCGCGTTGTTCCCGGGGCAGGGACAGCTGAGGTGCAGAAGGCTGGCATTTCCAGGGTGTCCAGGAGGGAGGCCCTGCATGTGCTGTTTCCATGGCTACAGCACTGCTCCAGTTTTCCTCTAGGTGGTGACAAATGTGACTGGACTTAGCCTGGTGACTGGACTCGGTGAGTGGAAATTTGTTCCCATAAACTCTCAATTTTTTTCCCTGCCACCTTTAAACACACATATTACTTCCAACACAGTATTACTTCATGGTCTTTGCAGATTGGCTTAATTCTTTCTAATGGGACATGTTGAGGCTCATGGAATAGTCCAAAAAGTCTTTTAAAAAAAATCATCCCCAAAAGCACATGCTAGGATATTCAGGGGCCTGCCTACCCTCTTGTCTGCGCATAAAGCTTAGGGAGTCTGGCTCTGTCCGGCTGTGTTTGGCGTCCTTGGTGAGGGGGTCCCCTCTCCCCAGCCTCAGGAGCAGCCGCAGGGGCAGCGGGGACCAGGGCCAGGGCGCGCTCAGGGTCAGAAGAGAAACTGCGGGACCAGGGGCTACGTGTGTGCTCCGCGGGGCGCGCCGTGTCACTGGCTGCCAGGAAAGCGACAGCACGCACCGTCGGGAGTGACCTTTTCACAGCAGCTGTGCGGCCAAAGGCCCACGCCAAACCCCACAGAGCAGGGCTGGCCTCTGTCCCTCAAAGCGGCACAGCTGAACCGTGGCCGAGGTTAACAACAAAGAAGAACAAACCAAAACAAACAGCCGTCCAAACCAAAGTTTTCAAAGACAGGAAGCTGTACTAATTAGAAGTCGGACATTGGACAAGCACTGTGTTAGGGAGAAGCGCCAGCCTCCCTGGCGGACTTCTGGTCGCTCACCACTGGCTGAGTGAAGATTTCAGCTTACCGAGTCCTCTCTGGGTGGACCTGAGACGCGGTATTCGTTTAATAAAAATCCCGAATTGGGATGAGAATTCGAAGGGCAAAGAGAAACTCTGCCCCTACCTAGCCTGACTGGGTATCCGTTTTTAAAAACCACTCATTTCTTCTTGCCAGCTAACTTCAGTAGCAGAAAATGCTGAGACACTGGGATGTTGATTTCCAAAGTTTCTTCTCTTAAAAAAATTATCTCATAAGTTGTACCTAATGATAAATGATCATGCTACAGAGTTCCAGTTTACTGCCAAACAGAGGATTTAATAAAATTAAATTTAAAAAGCTGGATCATTTAAGGAAAGTAATTCATTTCTTGCTTTGACTCTTTCCCAGAACAAACATAAAAAATGCATTATTTTCCCTCCTGGTATTAACAAAATATTTTCCAAATCCATTGCCTGCGTCTCTGCATTCCTCCATCGGGGTCTTATTCAGTGTGTGACTCCCTGGAAACTGATATCTGAGGATTAATCTGATACGTGCTTCTACCCACTTTCCCCTTGTTTAATGCTTAGCCTGAGCACAACATTCATTTTCTAGGCTTTCTGGAACATACTACCGCACTACAAATAAAAAGTTTCAACTTGTCTGTTTTCTTTCTTTTCCTCTCCCTCCTTTAAAAGATTTTAACTTTTTGGTGTATTATTTTAAACAGTTTCCAAGTTGGGGATCCGTCTTTTGGTCTCTTGTCTGTCAAATAGAAAATTAAGGGAAAATTGCGTTTCTAAGGCACATAGAAGGTCAATCAAGCTGCCTCTTCCAAAGCTTCTGAAGGCTGTTTAAAATGTAGACACCGTTGGTTTTTTTTTTTTTTGCAAATATCAAGAACTGCACTCGGGTCCGGGAGCTCGGGGTTGGAGAGGGTCAGAGGGTGAGAGCGCAGGGGCTCCGAGGGTGACAGGTCTGTTTTTCCGCTGACCGGCGGCGGCAGGGCCAGCGAGCTCTGCCTGTCTGGAAGCCACCACCTCCACGAGTTATAACTGTGCACTTACTGTGATGGCCTGGAGTCTCTCCTTCAGCAGCTCAGCCTCTTCCATTCTGGAAGTCAGGGACGCGCGGACGCCGCAGGAAGCCCCAAGCGACCATAAATCAGGAGCCTCGCTGGGGAGAGCAGCCGGGGCGACGGGAGCAGCAGGACCGCGGTCGGCGCCTGGGCGAAGCGGCGAGCAGGCGGCGGGAGCGGCTGGGAGCAGATGTGCCGCTCGGCCCTCAGACCTGTAATGAGGGTGCTGGAGGCAGCGCCCGGCTGCTGGCTCCCGCTGACTGACAAGTCTGAGCGCAGCTCACCAGCCCTTTTCCTCCAGGAGCTGCCAGCCCTTTGTTGTAATGTGCACCGGGAGCGCGGCACACTTCTGATTAACTGTTCCCTACCCGGGCCGGCCTTTCCCAGGCCCCGGGAGCCCACGCCCAGCTGTGATCAGCCGCCTCCGTGGTGGGCTCTGCGTGTGTTTGTACAGAGAGAGTCCACCTGCCCCTCCTCCAGACTCTGCAAAGCGGGGCCTCGCCCTGACTCGGCCAAGGCCCTTGCTTGTCTGCCTTCCTCTGATTGGCTATGGATAATCATAAAAAAATTCTGTAGTTTCTTTAGAACTTACTGTGGTGGTAAATTGACATCAGGTGGCCTCCCCTCCCCTCCTCCCGCTTCAGCAGTTTGTTTCAAACTTTGGAATCTCCAGGTCAGGGGGAGCCACAGGCGTTCGCCTGATTGAGAACTTGGCCCACCGGCAGAGTTCAGCGTGGTGCCAGCCTCAAGTACCGCCCTGATTTCTTGCCTTGGATCTCTGCGGAATGCAGTTCTTTCTTGGACCTGGCTCAGAAGGGACACCGGGCTCTCGGGAAGGTGCCTATGTTGACCTCACCAGTTATGCAAGAGAAAGGGCGAGCCTTGGACGGTGCGATGAGATACTCTGTGCTCACGTGTCCAGCGCTGGCTATTCCTCTGCCCTTTGGAAAAGAGAAGCCAAGCCCACTGCAGCCCTGGGTTCAGAGAAGAGGCTGGGAGCTTCCCGATGGACTCTGTTTCCTTCCCTGCCATTTCTTCAGCTCCTTTCGAAGCAGTGGCTCCTCATCACTCTCTCCCTCACTGTCGTGAGCTTGGACACTGCCAGACACCTTCGTGTCAACATTCGGCTGAAGAACTTGGACAGCCTTCAGGTGGAACATGCAGTTTAACTTCCTCTGCGTTGTCCGTATCGGTAATACCAAGAGCTGACCTTCGTGAGCCCTCCCTCTAGGCAGGCAAACACTCTCCATCCCATTTACCTTGCAGGGTGCTAGGAGACGACGCCACTGGCCCTGTCCTGAACGCGAGGAGACCGAGGTGCAGAGAGGTAAGTTTGCATAGACAATAAGTAGCGAGGCCAGGACTGGACACCGGACTGTCTGACTATACAGGAGCCACTCCTCAGCCTGCCCAAGGAGACAGGGCACGGTGAGAACGGGCTGGAGGCTAGGTCAGCCTTTGTGAGAAAGAGTCGGACCCCCAGCCTCCTCCTCCACCTGGGTCTCAGAACACTGCTATTTGGGTTCAACCCCCTCTGGCAGAACCCTGTGGGAATCTCCTCCGAACGAACTTAGTGGCCCCTGTGAGAGAAGGGCTCTGCATGTTATTACTTGGAGCCCCCAACCACGGAACCCGAGGTGGAACCTGCCTGCGTCCAGTTGAATCATATGTGGGAGTCGATGGTCCTTGCTCTACACCCCAAAAGGCACTGAAAGAGACCACATAACAGGAGAACTGTTAGGTGTGGACCAAGTTTGATTACTGTTGGATGGATATTTAAGCTTAAAAAAAATCAAAATGTCACACCTTTTGATTTTGTGTATCCGTAGATTCTGGCTGCAGTTAAAGACAGAGCAGTAGAGACACACAGCTCGGGTGGTCCTGTGTTTGCTGCCCAGAACTCACGGGCCTTCGTCCAGGTATTAGTCTGGATCTTCTCCTAAAAACAAATTTACCTTTCAAATCTCATTGCTGCTATGGGAAGACCCAAGGGTGTCCTAGTGAAAGGGAGAATTAGATAAACAAGAGCATCAGGGAATTTAGGAGAGAGCAGAGTTGGGACCACTGATTGGCATCATCATGTGTTTACTCATTTAGTAGATAATACTAATGATTGCTATTATTTTAAAGCATTTGTTATTCATTTATTCTGCATATATTTATTGATCACCTATGATGTGTCAGGCCCTGTGCTAGGTGTTTGGGACACAGATAAATAACATTTGTGCTCTGCTAGAAATTATATTTAAGAAGATAACAAAAGACAAATATCATAATCAAGCAAAATATAGGTGAGAAGGTAATTATGTTAGTCCTCTAAGAAACCATTGCCAAGATGGGATACATATGTTGGGTTTTATTAGTAGAATGACCATGTGAGAGAATACGGGCAGGTCGGAAGAAGAGGCCAGAGTTGGGAAAGTCTGGGAGAGTGATCAGACCCTGGTGCAGGTCTGACCAGAGTGAAGGAGAGGGAGGCAAAGCTAGGCGGAAACACACCCTACAGTGCAGCTAGATTGCCAAGGCTACAGAGAGTCTCGGGGCCCAAGTCAGCCACAGGGAGGTCCTGTGTCGCCTAGGAACAGGACTGCTTCAGCGTTCCGGCCATGCTCAGTCATTGGCTCAGAGCAGCCCCAGAGAGGCAGGGTCTTGATACAAATATGGGGATAAAGTTCAGAGTCAACAGCTGGGAGTCAACCCTTGGCCAATTATGCTCCTGAAGTTGGATGTCTGACTGGCACATTCTAATGAAAGCCATTGTGATAACTGCTATGGAAAGAAAATAGAGCAAAGGAGGAGAAAAATGATCGCTAATGGGAGGCAAGTTGCAATTTAGAACTGGGCCATCAGGTAGCCTCAAGGCCTTGAAAGGGTAGGTGGGAGTTAGCCACAAGGATGCCAATGGAAAGAGCATGTTGAGAAAAGCCTGTGCCAAGGCCCTGAGGTAGACTCTATCTGGTATATTTTAGGAACAAGTACAGGGTGATTAGACAGGGAGGAACGAAGGAAATGGTAACAGGGCTGAGTTCAGGCAGGGTCTTGTGGGCCATTGTAAGGACTTTGGCTTTTCCTTGGCATGGGGTAAGAGGCCACTGAGATGTTCTGAGCAGAGAGGTGACATGACCTAGCATGTCTTGCAAGGATGGAGACAGGGGGGCTGGGTAGGATGCTATAGAAGTAATCCAGTTGAGAAACGATGGCAGCTTGAGCCAAGGTGACGGCAATGAGGGCAGTGAGAACTGGCTGAGCCATGGATGTATTTTAAAGTGAGATCAACGGAATTTCCTGAGACTGGGTATGGGGTTTGAGAAAAGAGAATTCAAGATAACTCTAAGACTCTTGGACTGAGTAAATGGAAATTCCCAATAATTAGGTAGGGAAGTTGGTTATTTTTTTGGGGTGGGGTGGGGGGAAGAGGTTAGATAGCAATATCAGTTTCAGACAAGTCAATCAGTTATCATATGGAGATGCTGAGCAGACAACTGGATATGTGAGTTTGGAGTTCAGGAAAGAAGTCTCATCTGGATCTATAAAATTCATTATTTCTCGGGTAGTAAGCAGGATCACAAAATGTCTAGAACTGTAATCCAAAGAACAGCATAATCGGGTGAACTAATATTCAGTAAATATTAAATATATATTCATGAACAAATTCAGTCTTTGTAAAATAGGTGTACAGTAGAGCTCTGTCTACTCTCAATTATCTTGTTAAACCAAGTTTACAAAATATTTTGTTGTTTGCCAGCCAGTGTAAATGAGGGTGGCGAGATTAAGTTACAATCAATTATCTGACCTCATATGAGGAGTTAAAAGATATGTGAGCTTCTGAGACCATGCCTTTTCTTAAAGTGTGTAAGCTATCGGGTTGGAGAGGTAAGACATACTAAAAAAAATCAGACGACAGAAGAAAAGGAAACCAACTGTCATTGTAATTGATAAAACCAAGTGCTCATGACTTGAGACCAGGAAGGTATAGCTTTGTGAATAGTGACGTGGCACCAGCAGACAGTGCACCTGAGTTGAAGGAGCCAGAGACCAGTGTGAGGAAGCAGAACTTAAAGTGGAGCAGTCAGTCAGTCCTAAGGGAGAGCGTCCTGCTTGGGGCAGAGAGGAGGACTAGACAGAAAGGCCGACTGAAATGTACGACCATACACCGAATTTGATGTTCAGGGGAAAGGGATTAGGGGAGCGGGAGATGAAAGACCCAATTCATATTTCAGGAGAATAACACTGTCAACTCTCTGAACAGATGGAAAAAGTAGGTAGGACGATCCTGTAGGAAGGTAGGGAATATGAAATGTGAGTGTCCTCGGAAAGAGTCTAAGAAATCGGCAATGTTCTGTGCAAGAAAAGTCCCAGTTTAGGCTTCTCCTAAACTTCAGGGGGGCTGGACCCAGAGGTCAGGAAGTAGATGAAGAAGTACAGAGTGATTGGAGTAGTACGTAAGGTGCTAATATAAATATTTCAAGACCCAAGGGTAATGGCAATGGGAATGATTGATAAGGGAGAAATAAAAATAAATTTCAATTAAGAGGGTTATAATAAAGAGAAGGATGAGACTTAAAAAAATTTTATTTTCTTTATTGATTTTAGATAGGAAGGGAGAGGGAGAGAGAGATGGAAACATCAGTGAGAGAAACATGGATGGGCCGCCTCCTGCACGCCCCCCACTGGGGTGGGCCCCACAACCTAGGCATGGGTCCTGACTGGGAAAGGAACTGGCAACCTCCTGGTGCATGGGTCGACGCCCAGCCACTGGGCTACACTGACTGGGCAGGATGAGACTTTTCTAGGTTCCAAACTGGGCACAAAATGGAGGCTTAGATTATAAACTTGGGACTGAAAACCACAGAGAAATAAAATAGTGGCAGAAAACTGAAGGAAGCCAAAGGCAGGAAGTACATAGTTCTAGGACGTCTATGTGAAAAGACATTTCTAGGGTCTTTTTGAAAGCAGATCCTGTTTAAAAAGTGGGTGCTGCCTGGCCAGTGAGGCTCAGTGGATTGAGCATCGCCCCATGGACTGAGAGGTCCCGGCTTGATTCCTGGTCAGGGCGCATGCCTGGGTTGTGGGCTTGATCTCCAGTAGGGGGCGTGCAGGAGGCAGCTAATCAATGTGTTTCTCTCTCTCTCTCTTTCATTGATGTTTTGATGTTTCTATCTCTCCCTTCCGCTCTTTCTAAAACATATATATATGTATTTTAAAAAAATGGGTGCTAACTCCCTTTCTGCCTCTTGTTTCTCTCTTGTTCTCTCTTTTTTCATCCTTCTTTCCCTCTCCTTTTTTTTTTTATGGAGGTCAGAAATGGTGTCAGACAGCGTTCTTCTCACACTGTATCTCTGAAAGAATCATTTAAAAGTCCCTGGCCGTGCCCAGAGTGTCTCAGTGGCTGAGTGTTGACCCAGGCACCACGAGGTCTTGGGTTCCA